TCGGGATCGTTCGGGAGGAGACAGCTGAACCACGTTCTCCGGCTTGTCGATCTGCAGCAGCTGGATGATCGTAATGGCGTCTCGCATGTAGTAGAATGCGCTGTCGCTACCTTGCAGACTCATGAGGCAGTTGTGTATGAACATTGACTGCACGGCTCGCATGACCGAGAAATGGCAATGCTTGTGGGTTCGCCTCATGGTATCGATCGAGTAGTCCATGAGGCTTTCGATGGTTTGGACGATTTCTTCTGTTCGGCGGTCACCATACCGGGTCAAGTTCAGCGTACAGCCTCCGAATGCGTAGATGAATGAGCGGACATCTGGGTCGCTGTCCATGACCTCGATGTACTGTCGGAGCTCATGTTCGGCAATGACCGGATGAACAGGATACACCCCAGCAACATAATCCGGGATGAGGTCGAGAAAGAAAGCCTTGGGGTACTGTGATAAGAAAGATGACGAAGGAGATGCTGCCCGGAGTCAGCAGTAGCACCCCAAATTTGAGTAGAGATTGCCAGGGTGACATACTTGGTGTGCCTCCATTACGGTCAAGTATCGGCGAGATGGGACTGTACGGTGTCTGAAAGCTAGCTGCTACTGAATGAGCAGGCAGTATGGGCGGCGATATTGCTGGCAAATTGGACGTTTGGCTTCTGAACTCGGAGATAATATGGCCTCGCTTGCCCTGAGACCTTTGCTTGCCGGAGGGTGAGTAGATGCACCGCAAGCCGAGATGTGCGCACTGTTGACACCGTGCTTGCCCGTTACAACGTACTTTCCTCCTCTTGCACGCGTCGCATGCTTTCGATACTCGTTTCTGGGATGGCTGTTCCATGTTCATAATGGGTCCTGCTGTGTGCATAATGTTTTTGTAGAGCCTCGGTGTCGGGATGATCAGGCGATCTGGGGAAGGACTGCGGAGACGCGCTAGCGGAGCGTAGTTCCTAATTGGTTCACCTGCAGACTGGGTTTGATCGAACGGCAAAACAGGCAGGTGCGAGTGGCGTAGAAGGCGCGCCGAAAGGTCTAGGAATGACATTGCATAGTCTAGAAATGCGTACCTGAGTCGGACGGAACAATTGTGGGGTCGACTGCATGTCAGCTTACATATCCTGGCATGCCCAGGTATGAAGGCCGACCTACATATGATGCTCTACATGTGTCTAACAGTATTGCCAAAACAGAGGATTGCGCTGCCTGCGTATTCTCCAGCTAATGTGTAGGTTTGCTAAGGGTGATAACTTTGGGAAGGGCTGGAGGTACTCTATGCACGACTGGGATTTGAAGAGCTGCTGGTATGACCTCTTTGCCTACTACATTACTTTCTTAACGTTCACAGCTACGAGGAATGACTCTATGTATACAGCAAAGATATCTATGTTCCCGCCACTTACCGTGCGCAAAACAGCGGGCAAAAAAGAGAGCGCAGAGTTGTCACAACACAGTTTCGACCCTAAGGCAAAAAGAGATGACCACCTCCGTTATACTTTGGAAACATCTTGAAACCCTGTTATTGCTTCTTGTGGCGGGTTTATCACGACTGGCTATGTTGTATATCTTTTTTGCTTGGACAGTGTCCTCTTTTGGTTCCAGCCGCCATCCCGGTTTTGAGGTAGAATGGTTTGATGGAGTATTGTAGAATTAACCAATATATATACACATATAAAGCGGATATAGAAGTGGGGCAGGCAGATAGGGATTGTGGTGGAGTAAGCAAACAAACGCGAGCTCAATCCGCTCTCACCTTCACTTTCACTGCGAGGTTACACAGGAAAGACGCGTCACCGCGAGCCCAAAGATGAAGAATTTGCGCTCTCACCGTCACTGCTGTATGCGGCAAACGGCTTATGCGGGCTCATATGGTCGTTGCCTTGACTATCTTTGCGGCCTACAACGCGACACCCACCCTACAACCACCACACAACAGACACCTCTGGAGCCTACAACATAACAATCCCCCTATCAAAACACAATACAAAAACCTACGTATTCCTCAACATGGCTCAGTGCACCGCAACACCCATCCAGCAGGCTCTACGTAGTATCCTGCTGGCCGATATGGCAATGAGCAAGGCGAAGGGAGCAGATGAGTGGATGGAGGCTGTATGTCTACAATCATGAGTGAAAGCGATAATATCTAACATAAATGTAGTATACCGATTGGCATGAGGCTAATCAGTGGAGGGAGGAGATTGCCTCTGGGAAGAAGGCGGAGAAGAAGCTTTGGGAGCGGAAGCGAATGCGCGCTGAAGATTTCGTTCACCTCGACACTTATGAATCGGAGCCGAAACCGCGAAATGAGCGATTTGCGCTTCAGCAGGAAAAGAAGGAGGTTATAAAGACACTCCAGGAACATGTTGCGGCGCGAACTTCTGCCGGCGACATCGACTGCGGCCCCCTCCCACGAGCGCCGCCCGGTACGGGCAATAGTACTGATAGGTCACTTCGAATGCGATTGACTATGAAAGAAGAACGTCTGGTCAGGGAGAAGAAGACGGAACAGTCTTGAATTCTGAAGTTGGCTTCCACCATTCACGCATGTATTGTACTATAGAAAGGCCGCCGAAGCCACCGCAAATATGCATGAAATCCTCCAATCACATCAACCAGAACTACTTAATCGAACCTGTGAGGCATCTCCGGAGTACCGTTTCCACCATACATAGCTTCCTGCTCAGCCTGCTCCTTGGCCTGGAGGTACTGCCACCTTACACGAGCAGCCTTGAGCTCCGCCTCGGCAACTTCCAACTCAGCCTGCATCTTTTGGACAGCAAGAGGCTGACCAGATGTATCCACGGTATCTACAGTCTCGACAGGGTACATGCGCGCATCTTGGGGACCTGGCGAGACGGAGAAGGCGGGAGTCCGGTGGGTAAGGAGGGACTGGGTACCGGGAGAGCTAGTATAGTCTTCATCGTCTTCGGTGACGATGGTCCTGGAGCGGCGAGTAGCGGTTCCGCGACCACTGGGAGTGGTACTGGTGCGGACAGAGCGCTCACGCTTCTTGGCCCGCTTGTCGTGACGCTCGAAGCCACCATCCTCGGCACGGCGGAGACGGTTAGGAGCACCTACTCAATGTCAATAACATGATTCGACGTTCGAAGTTTCAAAGTCGTCGCTGATGTATCTGTTGAACGACTTTTAGGTATGACAGAGGGGTTGACTTACGTTTGCGGCGCTTCTCTAGAACGCGTGCTTCGTAGATCTCGTGGTTACCACGACGCCTCTTAGCGCCCTTGGGTTGATCTGGCTCGACAAGCTCTTCGAAGTAGGAGTCATCGGAAGATTCTTCAGAGGACTCCGGGATGACGACCTGGTTCTTGCGCTCTGGGTGCTCGTACTCATCCTTGATGTCTCTGATATCGGCCAGACGAGCCCAGGGATGCTTGGGCTCATGAAGAGCGACCTTGGCACGCAGATCAGCTTGGAACCGAGCTAGGTCTCCATTCGTGAGACGAGAAATAGACATCAGATCTTTGAGGAACTGTACACCCCAGTTGCGAGGGTCATTCTCGGTCTCGTCCTTGATATGGTCGCGGCGCTCGCAATCCCAGGCGCGCATACGAATGTCCTCGGGGATGATGTCCAGGCTGTCGGCGAGACCGAAGGAAGCTGCCAGGGCGGGCAGAAGACAATTCACCAGGTCCTTGGTGTCATCGTTGAGGGTTTCGAATCGGCCCATGGTGATAGCTGGTCCGTATGGACAGTGGACTTGAAGAGCTTGAGCTTGATGAACAAACTGCTGCCGGAGCGTTGAGGCAGTTATCTGAGCCGTAGAGATTAGCAAGAGGTTTTGCGTCAAGTCTAGATTGGAAGGCTGAAGCAAGAGGATCGCCTCAGCAGATCAAAGTCGCGTCGCACTGAAGGACGAGGTGTCTGCGCCGAACAAATCGCACGAACTTACCTTGAGTCGCCGCGAAGAATCGCTTTGATCGCGCCAAATACTACTGAAGTTGTAGCGGCGAGTAGGTGGTAGAGGCTCAGTGTTGGTGATCAGATATCGCTACCTATATATGATTGCATGCGCTAGCAGTAACGGCCCGTTGCCTGCTGCGAATCTTGAGTCTTAGGAAGGCCGTCCAATGACAAGTAAGTGGGGTATATATCCCGAGATGTGGTCTCGTGCGCCTGATGTGACGTGTTCGTAGAACTGAGAAGTGAAAGATTTGAGACACCACCGGGTACCCTCGGTGCTGTCGGTAAGGAAGGTAGACAGCCAAGTTGTTGCTTTTTGGAAAGTGATCATGTAAATATAAGAGAGAGCAAAGCTATATATACGAAGAGAACGGTGGTGATGAGTTATATACCCGAGCAACAATTGGTTCAAGAAACGTAGTGAGAGAAATGACAGCCTTGACCGTATCGGAAGTTCTTGCTTGATCGCCTGGGTAATACCGATACGTCCTCAGAAACAAATTTCATGTGTTTGCTTGATGAGACTTCTTGTCTGGACAGGAGGGATGCGCATCGTATCTTTCAAGAAAAGTACGTGCACAAACGACGCAGGAATTGTTCATGATCTTGGAAGAGAACGTTGTAAACAAATGACGAGATTCAGCCGTGGTGATCAGAACAATTAAATCTGTAAGGTAACTGCTAGTGGACGCAAAATCGATGGAATCTTGATGTTCAAAGATGATGTTTCGTGGAAGCAGCGCTGACAAGCTTCGCGACATCCTTTGGCATCCGCGCTAAAGTCGCGCTTCCGCATGCGCCTTCCCTGCACGTTACCAACCTCCCGTCCCTTCTCCAACTTGGACCACACGACATCCAGGGTAACAAGCGCATGAAAAGAGATGGCCATGAAAAGGGAGCGCTCACCATCTCCAAAACCCACAACAGAAATATATCTCTCGTCAGCAATACAAGAGCAGACATCAACATTCAAAGCCGCGTTCTCTCCTAACCTATCCGCCAAAGCCTTACAAACACTCCCCGAATTCCGGACTGCCACCCACAAAATCGCAGCATGGAGGAAACCATCACGGCAAAAGTCTTTGATGCCAGAATCCCGCACTTTGTATGATCTTGGCCACGATGATGATGGCGAAAAGTGGGCCGGAGGACGACTCAGCAATGTACTACGAGACACGCAGACCGAAGGCGTTGTAGTAGTTGCGCGCTGGTACGGCGGGCAAAACATCGGTCCCATACGTTTCACGCATATCGAAAACAGCGCCAAAGAAGCGATTTGGAAGTGGAAAGTCGCCGATACGGAGATCAAGAAAGAGCAGGCTACCAAGAAGCAAAGAGTCGATGAAGAAGCTAAGCGGGAAGAGCTGATTAAGAACCTACAGGAAAGGGATTACAACATCTTTGCGCTGAGGAAGTTGTTGAGTCAGAAAAAGGCGCAGTTGCAGGATGAGGAGCCTGCGCCACCGACGCCGCAGAAGATGCAGGATTATGGGAAGATGACTATGGATGCGCTGACGAGGGTGGACAAAGCAAGGGATGCTACGATTGCGTTCATTTTGAAGCAAATTGATAAGATCGATGAGGAGCTTAAGCTTGTGGAGGCGTTGGAGGACGGCACGCAGGGGGCGGAAGAGGAGGGCAAGGCTGGAGAGGAAAAGCCCTCGACGCCAAAGTGATGCGATGGCCATTATGGTCATCGGATACCACAGAGCTCTCCATAAAATTGTCGGTTGGACGTTGGCTTATGTACCACCTATCAGCGCCAATATGGAAAAAGCATTCGGGGTTACCAGGAGATTCCCATGCAGCTCTCTAGACATCGTCTCTGGAACCGACAACACCCTCCAACGCGGTATCCACTAGGATGGATCTCTAGTCCACTTCCTAACGCCATCAACAATGTGGGGAGAATCTAAACGCAATACGGGTTTCGTCTCTACTAGAGAGGGTTTTCAGGAAATGGCTACAGGACCTACGTTTGTGGGCTGGTACCCAAAGAGACTGGAGCAGGAGGAATACCAGTCAAATAGAGACCCCGTGTAAGTATTTACTACTCCAGAAGATGCATGTTTCCCTGTCTTATATAGTACATGTCTCTACATGCACATTACGCATACTGTACATTCAATATACACAAGCGCCCTTGTCTATTCCCATCTCCCAGCCAGAAACCTCCGAATCCAACACATGCTTGCCCGTTGAATAGGCAAACACTACTGCTGCTCTAATGACTGATGTTCCACCTCCCCTTCTTTAACCTCCGCATAATCATCTTCCGCCCCTTCTTCGTCCTAATCCTGCTTAAAAACCCATGTCTCCTCTTGCGCACCAGATGGCTCGGGTTGTACGTATCACGCGGACCGCACCGAATCTGCATGCTGCCCAGACCGGGATGTGACGAGATTTTGGAGGCGAGGTCCAGCGTCTCGGAGCTTGAGGGGACCAGAGAGGTGGTGCCCGCGGGCGGGAGGGCGTTTGTGCGGGGCAGGATGGGGCGTCGGGGGGCGAGGAGCGATATTTGGCGGGTGGACGAGGGTGTGGATAGCCTGGAGGATGGGTTAGAGGGGTGGAGAAGGGGCTCGGAGGGAGGGTAGGTACGAGTGTGGTGGTGCTATGCGTGGTCGGAGGAGTGTGGATGCGCTGGTTGAAGGGCGCGCGACGACCCGTAGGCACCGGAAGGCGTTCATGATGTGTATGTCGACCGCAATTGTCCTCTCTTCGCCCGTTGTATCGTCTCCGTGGCGGCGTGGTCCCGATTTGTCGATGCGAGCGTGCAGTCTGGCATGCCCGTCGCGAAGTCCGCAGAGCTAACACATTCCTTGTCGTCCGTGCGCAAAAAGTTGGCCGTCGTCCCAAAATCCTAGCCAACAACTCCACCATTTCCGCGATAGCAACTACCCACCCAACCCTCTATTTCGCGCCCAAACACTGCCAAAATGATGCTCGAAGCACCTCCTCCCCGCCGCCACGTCTCCAGCGCGCCCATCTCTATCGACGATGCGTCGGCCATCCTCGAAAAGTACCTCTCGAACTCGGAAACGTACCCGCACCTCCACCCCGATGCGACTATCACACCAGAAGGCGTCGCATTCAATGCGCAAGGCGGCGCTATGGGCAACCCAATCATGCACCACTTGCGCCGTGTAGCAGCGGGTATGCGCGGCGAGTACCAAGAACCAGAACGAGCGCTAGACGAGGAAGACGACCAACAAAACGCAACCACGGACGTCACTGTCAAGACTGGTCGCAAAGGCGGCCTCAAGAAGTCCAGCCAGTTTGCAACGGTTGCCGAGGGAGAATGGCAGGACCTGGCCGAGTATCAGGCCGAACAGGGAGATATTGAGATTGGAGAGATTGGCGACCGGACGAATGTTGTGCAGGAAGGTGGTGAAGAGCCTCAGGTACAGTCTACCAAGGGCAAAGACAGGAAGAGGACGAATGCGCAAGTGGAGGAGCAGGGGCCCGCGGATGGCGCGATAGACAAGGACGCGAGGAAGAGGGCGAAGAAAGAACGAGACCAGCAGAGGAAGAAGGAAAAGGCCGCGAAGGGCAAGTCAAAGGAGTAAAGGTGTCACATCTCACGATCTGGAAAGAATACATGGTGGGAAACGACTTTGACGGACGCCTCGGCCATTGCATTTGGGCTGTATTCTACGAACTTTTCGTCGCACTTGCGACCCTGCGCGGTCAAGTTCCCATGACCTTTTATACCCGATATTGTACAAAATCCGATCGAGATCCACGCCTAGAGTTCCCGATCCGCTGCCTTGATAGGCTTCTCCTCGTCCGCCGCCTTGTCCTCCGAGACCTTCTTGTCGCCAGTCCAGTTCATAGCCTTGAGGCGCTCCGTCAGGATGGGGTGGGAGTGGTGGAAGCTGGAATAGAACCAGTCGGCATCCATGCTTGACAGGTTCTGGATCTGGAGCTTGATCAATGAGGCACCGAGTTCGCGCGCATATCCGAGCTTGACTGCGAAGGCATCTGGGTGTTGTTAGCATTGGCTGAGACATGGATTGGGACCAGGATACATACCGGCTTCGTACTCCATGCTGCGAGTCCAGATGTTGAGGAGGAGCTTGATGATGGAGTCCGTGGGCGACAGAATCTCGTTGAAGAGCATGAAGCCAACGATTGTCGGCTGCTCCCTGTGGAAACCAAAGTCGGCGTAGAGCGAGCGGTTGTCGATGAAGACGGAGAACAGGGCGAACATGTAGAATAGATGCGCCTGGCTAATGAAAAGAAGTCGCGAAGTGTGGTTCATCTTCCAGTGTCCCAGTTCGTGTGCCAGGACAGCCTCAACTTCCTTCTCCGTGCTCTTCTCCAGCAGTGTGTCGTAGATGACAATCTTCTTCTTGCCGATCCAGGGTAGTCCAGTGAAGTATGCGTTGCTGTGGGCGCTGCGCTTGCTGCCGTCGATGACCTGTAGTTCCGAGAGCGGGAAGTTGAGCTTAGACGCAAGCGCCTCGACAGACTCCTTGAGCTTGCCGGGCTTGAGCGGCTCCAGCTTGTTGAACATGGGCACAATGAGGATCGGGTAGATGGTCATGCCAGTGATCTGGATAACCAGCATGAACATCCACAGGTAGTAGAAGAAACCCTGGCCTGTCTTCTTGATGATGGCCAAGAAGGCGCTTCCAATGGGAATACCAAAGGCAATAGCGAGAGCCTGGCCCTTGATCATGTCCGTGAGCCAGAGCTTGACCGTCATCTTGTTGAAGCCAAACTTCTCCTCCAGCACGAAGCTGTGGTAGTAGGAGAAGCCGAGGCCGGTAATCAGATCGATCCATCCCAACATGTACATGAACAAGAGCGACTGGGGAATTTCACCAGAGAAGCGGACGGGCGCATAGCGAGCGACGACGGTGCCGGCGGCGGCCCAGACGAGCGGGTATACGTTGAAGTAGAGGACGGCGAGGGATTTGACCTGGTTGAAGAGAGCGGAGAAGAAGCTGAACTTGGCTTTGGCGCGGCCATATTCCTGCCATTAAGTCAGCGCTGGTAAGCATGGCGGGGTTGCTGCAATTGTGCGCGTACCTGGGATTTATCGAAGGTCTCCCTTTCAATTTCCTTATCAAGAGCCTTGGGGACGGTGGTGCGTTGGAGGACACGGTACTGGCGGAAGAGAAGCCAGTTCTCCAGGGCGAACTCTGCGAGCGAGAAGCCGACAACGAGGCGCTTCCATGGAAAGAGCGGCCGGTCGAGCCAGCGGCCCAGGCGCTGCATCGTGTTAGTCATGGTAGCCTCATTTTATTTGTGTGCGCATTAACCTGAAGGATTGCCTGGATCATGGCGGTGGTGGTGAATGTTGGTTGCAGGCAGACGCGCGAGGACAGATCAATGTTCAATGTTCCGCGTCAGCACTCCAGGGCTAGCGCCAGGCAGGGTTCAGCCACAGTACGTCACAGGGCTAGATATTGTTCTTCTCTTTCATCCTATCTTTCTCTGCGCGCCCTCTCCCAGAACAAATGTATACCCCTTCTAGTCTTTCTTTCTATGATCTCGTGCCACGACGACACGCTATATCACTTGGCGACAGTCACGGATGCATCCCAAGATGACACGCCTTCACGCGCGCGCGTTTGCTCGACACGTTACTCTACAAGATAATGCCACCTTAGCTCTGGCCTTGCTGTTTACGCCAGCAGGAGCAAAATAACATGCGTGAACCACCCTCGCTTAACGGATCTGAACAGGGAAATGGATTCTACATCTATCACTTCAGTCAATCATCACTGTCAGGGAGACTGCAGAAGTGAACGTTCGAGGTGAGCCCCAACGCGCTTGCCTTCGCAGCTGCGCGGTGGGAGGAAGGCGCAAGGCGTGACTGAACGTAATTTCGTTACACTCTGAGCGAGCACCCAAGCAAGCAACTGAACATCTAGACCTTCACTGCAACCAAATTCAGTCTCGTCCCCGCACCCACACTAACCCCACGCGCGACTATCACGGTTCCGAACAGAGCTCGGTATGAAGCGTCAGAGCAGCATCTTCCGCGCCAAGCGACTGTCGAAAGCCTTTACATCGACACTGACCAGCGTCTTCGAAAAGGCCGATTCGAGAAAAGGCACCACGACAACAGCACATCATCTACTCTCGCCGATAGCCGAACGACACTCAAAGGACAGCTCTAGGCCAGGAAGCGTACAGGAAGATTTCCACTCCGCGATCCCTGCGGAAGCACCCACCGAGTATTATATAATACAGGAGAACAAGTATCCTGCTCTGCGGGCCTTGCGGAGCGATGCAGAGATCGGGGACGGAATATGGAGATGCTGTCACTGTCGTCATGAGAACGTCGTTACGCACTACAAAGGCGCGTTTCCTTTCAAGCATCTGATATGCAGTCGCTGCAACGAGATACTGTGTTCTCAGTGTCACTCATCCGAGATCCTATCACCTCTACCGTACGGCATGATTCAAGCACCACGGCCACGCCTTGATCGCGAAGTCCGTTATTTCCACATCTGCACTACCTGCGGACTGAGTCATCGCGCCGAGATGGAAGGTACGACCCTAGACTTTTACGGTGTCAAGTGTGCGGCTTGCGGGAGCACTTCATACGGTGACTGGCCACGCTACCATATCGGTAACAACGAGCCGTATAGGAGGGATCCGGATGCGAGCTTTGTCAAACTCATCGATGCAAGAGCTGATGATGCGACGAGGCTTACTTTTCGGTGGATCATTGCGAACGAGGATGGGCCATCATCGGGACTGAGTTGCAGAAATCCAGGATGATGTTCACGACTGGCTGGATATCATTGGAGGAGGCGATAATCCCATCACGTCAATGGCTGCCTTCGTGAGCTTCGATCTGAACCATTGCCATACGGATAAGACAGCGATACGTTGAGAGACATGCAAGTGATGTTTACTCTACCTACTGATATTGTCTCAAGTAAGTCGTCTTACTGTCACTATCTCATATCTCATTGTGTACTTATAGAGAGTACTGATCCATCACATTTCCCGGTACTTCGTTATATATGTCAAATCCATCGTCTATATACTTACAGTGATGCGCAGCCGACCATAGTGATGATAGAGTGTAACAGCAGCACAACTATTTCTTTGTTGCATTGTTTCTTCCATGGCCGGGCATGCAGCCTACCAACAACCCGAATATTTACTCGCTTTCACAACAGCCCAAGATACAATGGGATTGAACCATTTCACAACGATTTCCATGCGGAGACTCTCATTAGAGAGAGTCGCAAAGGCCGTCAAAGCCGTCAACCCTTTCAAGCTCTCGAAGCGAAGCCCACGTAGACATCTCAACAAGGATGTCCACTTCCAATACGACCGTACCGCAGACGGTGTCTGGGCCCCTAGCTGTGGCCACGACATGAAACTATACCATTTCGCAGGACCACATCCCTTCAAGTATGTTAAATGTCATTGCGAACGCATACTGTGTCCCGATGATCGTACCTCCGAGATCTTGACTCCAGTACCCTCACTGAAGTTGGAGGTTTACGAGGAACGTTTCGAAGGCCAGAGGAGGTTAAAAGAGAGCAGATACTGCCAACTGTGTCGAGCATGCGGTCTCACACATCGTGGTAAAATCAGCAAAGGTCGCATTGAGTTTCCAACAATGCCATGCGTCTGCGGCCAGATCTCTAGCGAAGAGCCAATGTACTTCTACATTGGCGATAACGCTGCGTATCAGAGCGATGCCGATGCTGTCACGGTAGATGTCCGCCTCACGCAAAGACTGGATGCATCCCAACGGTGTAAGAGTGAAAGGATTCCTCTCGCCGATTGGGTCCCTTCCTCTCCTGGCGAGATCGAGAAGTTTCGTCTAGTACTCGATAAGGGAGGACCAACTCACGCCCGAGACGCTTCAAAGCCGGAGACCAAGCGTAATAAACGCCCCAAGCGACGAGCAGATGGATCTGCAGCTTATATGTTGAAGCCAGATCCAGATTGGGATGTCCGCGTCGATGTCTTGTGGTTTCCAGATTGAGCGGACGGAGCGCGTGATGCTAGATTCGTGCATCCGTTTTCTCGTCCACAGTCATCCTGCTATCGAGCAGCGTCTACTAATATACCCGTCGCTCACATCTTCTCAATATTTAATGTTTGCAAGAGATAAGACGGAAGCTATAGCTCTACACTGCGCGCCGGCCAGCATATCCAATATTCGTATATACACAGCTCCCTTATACATCGGCAACACAGACCTCAGAGTCAGCGGAGACCCAATGCATGACTGCATCCCAAAGAGATCACTAGACACTGTGAAACACATGGCAAACAACGTCTATTGAAGGCTCGACTGGATCTATATAACTTCGTCCGCCACTCCCATCCGGACCTCACAAGAGAGTCTAGAAAAATCAAGCAGTAGGAACAGACGGAAGAATATGACGAACCGCGAGCGATCCACATCGTTGGGTGGAGGCGCATTCAAGATAGTGCGCAAACAACAAGGTTGGACAGGCAATATATACCATGACATTGTCCCGAAGTCGCCTGATAAACCCTACGAGCCTGTAGCCGGCTGGAGAAGACACAAGGAAGATGGTGTGTGGCTATGTTGTAAGGGCCACGCTGATAACGAGAACCTTGTAACACATCGTCAAGGCGCGTTTCCGTTCAACCGTCTGGAATGCACAAGGTGCGATCACATCTTCTGCCCGGATTGTTCCAGCTCGGCGGTCCTTACACGAGTTCAATCATCAGATCTGGTAGCTTTTCAAGAGCCCTCTCCAGCGACTGGTCGATTGGTCCCATATTGTCGACTATGCCGCGCGTGCGGGAGGACGCAGCGCGGTGTGTTCAAGAAGGGTCGTCTCGAACTTGCTATTTCTTGTCCGTGTGGTAAGGCTACCGTGTACGATGACGAACGCATAGACTTCTTCATCGGCTCGAATGAGAATTACCAAGAGGATAAGGAAGGTGTCACTGTACAGTTGAGAATTGATCATCGCCTTGGCGCTCACCAACGTGTGAAAAGGGAACGGCGTGTAGAGTTTAATGAGAAGACTTCGCAGGGCCCTGTCCAGCCGCCAAAAGCCGCCGTATCTAAAGAGACCCGCAATGCACCTGATCAAGCGATGGATGCAGGCCCGCGTCAATCTACGGGAAAAGGTGTACTGAAGAGGCCCCATGGAGGACCTCAACTGACGGTGAATACCAAAGAGTGGCATAAACATCAGCCATGGCCTGAGAATACGAGGTTCAAAACACTGCCGGAGGGTGGATTCGTCCTGGACGCAGATTTTGAGCACTCTGGTGTATCGCCATCAAGTATTGCCTGTAATTCGGAGACGTCTTTACTGCGGTAAGATGACTGATGTACCCTGCGCCTTGGTTCTCATATGTCCCATCACCGTCAGGCATTCGCTGCAATTCAGATTGCTCAGTGGGGCATGACAATGGCTTATATCTGGCGCCCTGGTTCGGTAATCTAGTGTCTCTTCCGGCGCAATGCTTACTGTTCGGGCTCAAGATAGTACTGATGTCAGATCTGTCTCTGTCCTCATAAAATCTAATGCAAATGATCTGATCTTACTAAGCCTTCGAATGCTCGTTGTGAGCTCGTATCTCGTTTGTTGTGCTGTCTGATAATGTAGTGTCGTCATATTTCTCGTTGTTTGTAGTCAGAGATTTCCGTCGCCATGGTGAAGGCAGAGACAACAACAAGGCAAAGTCGCGCCGTAACCACTACCTCAGCTAACACTACCAACCGCACAGAAACCAATTACCATGTCTAAAATACCGCGACAATTGTTGCTGCCCGGAGGCAAGCGGGTAATCGACGAACGATATGCCGAACATCGACACCGCTTGATCGGTATGCTGAGAGACTACCTGACCGTTTTGAGAGCGAGCCCGGTGTCCTCACCCGGGTTCCGTATCCATCGCGCCTCCCGCATGCTCCAGGGTTAGTTAGCCGTCACGAATAGCTCTTAAGATATCTTGCTAACTTATTACTAGTATGTAGCTCCCTTGCTATGCTTTGCCAACGCGGTGCTGAGACATCTTACTATTCGTGCTAACAGCTTAATAGCAGATCTTCTACGCCTACCGCGAAGTTACATGGAGCCGGTTCTGCGCCAAAATCTCCCTTCCAACATTCTATGACGGCCTCACCATCATCACAGACGATCCAAAGAAGCTCGGAAGGAAGAACGGCTGGTTTGCAGACTTTCCTCAGCAGTACTTCGTTGGCAATCCTGAGGCCAAGAGCAAGGTGCTGGTGATTTCGCCGTGTTACGACATTGGCGTTCTGAAGAAGCTCATCGAACAACTGTTCGCAGGTAAGACTCAGGAATCATCTAGATCAGACGGAGGATGTTAACCAGTGAATAACCAGGCCTCGATGTAGACATCGACGAAGTCAAAGTCCGCCTCAAGTCGCCCAAAGAAAAGGCCATCACAGCTACGGACGAGCCTTTCGATTTCGAAAACGCAAACCCTACTGTGTACATCCACTGGTGCATGCGCGTCACCCACAGACCCACAGGAAAACAGACGTCGCTCGATATCTCCGGCGTGCAGTACGGCATGATTCAAGGCGACATGCCTTGGCAACCACACACCAACATTTTCGTCGACGAGGTCCAGGCCATCAAGCCGCTGGGTACACTTGCGAAGTACGCAGATGAAGTGTCACAAACCAAGGGTACGGAGGGATTGCGATTCGAAGTTGCGGCGAGTGCAATGAAGGCGTGGCACGAGACTGTCGATGCGGCAATGGAGCGCAAAGGGTTGACATGGGCGGATGTACTAGGCAAGGAAGAAGAAGCCTTCCAGCGACATTCGATGAAGATCTTGAGCGTGGGCACAAAGGCTATGCAGAAGTATGCTGCGGAGACGAAGCTGACGAAGAAGAGGCTTAAGGCAGAGAGGTATGAGCAGAGGCATGAAGATTGGTTGATGGGAGAGCTCAAGGAGCTGGAGAAGCTGTATTTGGAATAGAGTAGGGAGTGCGCTTCTGAGCTCTGTGGGTTGACGCGACCTCGGGAGAAGATAAGTTGGGGTTCACGAGCCTGGGATCACATCGCAGCATGCCAGTAGATGGTGGCAATGCGACTGATAGCTCGACCAGAGTTCATGACTACTGCGGTTAGCAAACAAATACTGCCCCCCTTGTAATGTCTGTGTGTTGAAAGCGTTCCAGGTCCAGAGGAAGGGAAACTGTGTTCAGACGCACAATCACATGTTGTGCATGACTCGGGCGTGTGACGTACGGTTCCGGACCGGCTGCGCCACACTCCGGGTGGCAAACCACCCTCCCCTTAAGACATGCCTCCAGTCTCCACACTCTCCACCTCCAGCACTCAAACCACACACCTACAGACACACATACACATACACCCTCAGACCGCAAACATGGACGAAGACCTCATCGCGTTCGGCATCGTAATGCTGCTCTTCCTCTCCTTCCCCTTCCTCACGGTCCTCAGCATCACCGGCTGCGTCGCCTACTCGCGCACCAAGACCTGGGATAAAGCGCGCAACCAGCGTGCAGTCAGCCTCGAGTCCTCCAATGGAGAAACCAACCGCTTAGTCTCTGACGAGGCCGACGAAGAGTTCGACTTCTACGACACCGACGACGAGGAGGAGCACACCAAGGCCAAGGCGGAAGAGGAGGCCGACAAGTACCTTACCTTCAACCAGAAGTTCCGCAAGGAGTTCAAGAAGGTCTGGTCGGGCAAGGGCAAGGGCGATATCCTGAAGCAGAAGGAGCGCGAGGAGCGCAGGAAGCTGGCCAAGGCGGTGGCAAGGGAGATGGACCGCAGGGAGAGGAGGAAGGCGAGGGCTGCTGCCAAGGCACAGTCTGAAGACTTGCCGGCATACACTAAGGCGTAGTAGAACTACGTCGGTCCGATCTTCTCACGGAACAGCAAGAAGTGCTGTGATGCGATGATGGAGACGGACACCTTTCTCTCTTGGCCCTTAAATTGATACCCCAAATTAAACATATTACCTCAGCATTTCTTCCACGACAGATTTAGTATCTGGCCGAACCCAGCATCCACCGAGCTCCCCTGCACGTAACCGTTTTTGTTCGACGTACCCGAATCCACCGTCGCAGAGAGACTAATCTGAATCCGCGCATCCTTCTTCTGGCACATCGACGCCTCTGTATCTGATATCTCACCGTCCTTGTGCAAAAGGAAGTCTTCCTCGAATGGCCCTGTTACAATTTTATGAATGTTGCCCTGTTCTTCAGGTCAGTACCTCTAACAACACTTTCAGTCGCCAAAACCACGTACCTTGCCCTTCATATCCACGCCATTCACATCAATCCACTTCCACCGGCTAACCAAACTAGCCTCAACCCCCTTCTCAATATACACATAGCCTCGGAAATCGGCCGAGCTAACATCGAACGCCCACCCCGGCGAGTTCATGCCTATATTCACTCTGCAGAAGGCGCGCGTCTTTGCAGTCCCTGCTTTTGGTCCGTCGGAAGCGGCGAAGTTGTCGAAGATGATGGTTAAGGCGGAGTTGTCGGAGGCGAGCATCACGCTGGCGTCGCCGGGTCTGCAGCCACTTCCATCGAGGTCGATGTCGAGGCTTGTTAGGGAGACGGCGCCTTTGGGCGGGAGAGCGGCCGCGGTGAGTGTGATGAAGAGAGTGAGTAGGAATGCGAGGATGAATGACGGCATGGTGTGTCGAGACTACGGAGAGGAAAACATTAGACTGGAAACTTGCACGTCTTATGCTCCTCTTCAACCATCCTTTTCGTGCCTAGTACACCAAATACCGCCTTTTCTTGCCGTGATCGTGGCACTTCGACATCAATTCTTCGGTTGCGGCTGATGGAGCCGTCAGGTCAGATCCCAATATGTAGTACCATGCTGCAATTGGCATTACACTTGCCTACATATAGGAGCTATATCTAACGAGCCGCTAGGATCGCTGTCAAAAGAGGTTAGGTCAGGGCTCAGCCTGGGTTTCAACGACCCGACAGACTGTTCGAAAGTAAGGCAGGATTTAGCCTATGTGACACGCGCTTCCCACGATATAAGTCGACGCGCATCGTATATTGCTTACGTTGCACGAACCGAAACGACAATTGCTGATCTCTTAGACTGCTTTGAAAGTCGATAGACCGGGCTGTATAGTTGTGTTGGGGATGGAGCGCGAGAGGAATTTGTGTTTCACTCATTACGTACAGAAAATGACTTGAACGTCTGCCGTAGACGTACAACGCTTTGAATACATGGATATCACTAGAATACTTCTTACAATTAAACAGCCTCAGTCCGCTGCACAGGCGCCTTCTCGTGGTGCTCACTCTCGTAATCGGCGTTCTTCCCATCTGCCTGCACAATGAACTCTTCGCGCTTCTCAAAACCAAACAACTGATCCATCTGATCCATGCGCAGTCCTTTGGTGTCGTGGATGAAGAAGAAGGCGTAGATACTAGCGCAAATAAGCGCGGTGGCGAAGAAGACGTATACGCCCCATTCCATCGAGGTGTACATTTGCGGCAAGGCCTAAAACTAGATTAGTATATCTATTACGTGCGACTGATAGGTGCTTACCTTGGTGACTACCAGAGTCCATATCCATACGGATGCTGCTGCCCATGGTCCCGATATAGAGCGCATAGATGCGGGGAAGATTTCGCTAGAGATGATCCACGGAAGGCCGTTCGCACCGAATGACCAGGCAGCACCAAAGATCATGATCATGGCTGTTGCAGCTTTGCCACCAGCGACTGTGGATTCGGACATGGGCTCGCCCACTGTCGGCTTTCCAAGTGCGATGTATACGGCGAGGTAGTATTGGCAGAAAGCACAGATCAAGGAAGATATGATCCAAGGCCACTTGCGTCCAAACATGTCGATAAACCAGGTGAAGAAGATGATGGAACCTCCAGCTTTGATGATTCCGTAGATACCGGTCCAGAGAGTTACGTCGGACAATCCGATGGATGTAAAGATGGTTGGAGAGTAGTAGTTGATTGCCGCGGCACCACTCCAAGCTTGCCACATGAACATGAGGAATACCAAGAGGAATCTGTTCCGCATTCCTGGCATGGCTCCTTCGCGTGCTGCAGCCTTGATCGTTGTGAGGAAACTAGCATGCGCCTCACCATGTAGCAGTGCGGCGCGCTCTTTTGCAATCTCATTTCGCACGTATTGAACATCCTGGGCAATGTATGGATGGTCTTCGGGTAGGTTACGGAAGTAGCTCCACGACTTCAAGGCCTCAGCCTCGCGACCGCGTTTCAGCAGCCAGGTAGGAGACTCCTTCAGAACCGGTATCATGAGAGCTAGCAGTCCAGCAGGAATGAGCTGAACAGCCATCGGCACTCTCCAAGCGATGGATTTCGATCGGTCCATATTGTGTACAATGCCGTAGTTGATCCAGAATCCGATAACGGCACCCGTTTGGTAGAAAGATTCGAAGAACCCAGTGAGGCGTCCACGAATAGCAGGAGGCGAGATCTCGGCGATGTAGATGGGCGACACAGCGGCTATTCCTCCTACACCCATGCCAGTGAAGAATCGGCCGGCGAGGACAAGACTCAATTGGTTCTTGGGGACTAAAGTGCACTATTAGTACTGGCACATGGATGAGGTTAATGAAGCATGCTTACCAGTGCACATGATCGCGCCAACGATGAAGATGGCATCGGAGATAATGACTGTCGCACGGCGACCAAGGAGCTCAAGGAATGGGTACATAAGCAGCGCTCCTACGAGTCCTCCAGCCGAATATATGGAGGTGATGTTGCTGGTGATCTCGTTCTTGTTCGATGCATTGATGCCAAAGTCTCGTTGGAAGGACTCCTGGGCAATGGTAGTGCCGATAAAGGCAGAGTCGTAACCATAGGCCAAAACGCCCATTGAGATGACGAGCGCGGCCATGTAGACCCTCCAGTTGTACTATAGACTACATTAGCACCTTATCATCTCACCATCGGTTAGCACAAGAACTTACAACTTCCGGAGGCGTTGGCCTGTCTTCGGGGGCGCGAGCAAAACCACCCATAATGACTATCCACCAGAACAAACAATGTTCAAGTTACCGGACGGGTGTTGAAGCTGCAAAGTTCTGCAGTAGTCTTGATGCCGATCCCAAACCTGGGGCTCCCACGTTCTTTTGAACCAAACGCGCTTCCCCACAAAACACCCAGGCCATTCCGGGACGGAGAAGCAGGTTGCCACATCCGACCACGACCTTCCCCAGTGGAGTCTCCAGAGATGGCGCACCCTCGTCGCGTGGGTTCGATGGCGTGGTGTGGGAGCTCGTGGGCCTAGTGCAGCCGACACGCGAAGCTGGCGATGCGAGCGTCGGCAGCCCAACGTCACCGTCGCGGTCGTAGCCGACGGCGAATCGCGCGCCTTGAGAGCCGATGGAACATCCACACGTCTCCACGCCGAAGCGCGTCTTCTCGCATACTCCATCGTACTACCGGAACGCGTCGCGCAGTCGTGGATGCCAAAATGCGGCGGTTTCGCTCTGCTGCAGAGATGTCCTCCACATTCGGTTCCCCTCTGTACCTGCTCATCTCTTGACATCCTCACAAAATGCCTTCCGCAAACGGCACCAACGGCACAACAACATACTCCTTCCCACCGGGAATCCATGTCCCCTCATTGACCTGGTTCAAGAATGACACCAAGCAAGAGATCGATTGGGATGTCCAAGAAAAGCATTTCGAGTTCTTGATTTCCAACGGTCTGCACGGCATCGTCATCGCAGGAACCAATGGTGAAGCAGCAACATTATCCTCAGCCGAGAAGACGCAACTCGTCCAAACTGCTCGCAAGACGGCACAGCGCCTCGGTCGCGGAGACCTACCCATCACAATTGGAGGCGTAGCAGGCTGCACGCACGACGCGATACAGCAGACTACTGAGGCAAAGGAAGCAGGCGCATCATACTACCTCGCACTGGTACCCTCCTACTTCCACTTCTCCATGAACCAGGATGCCATCGTAGCCTACTTCCAGGAACTAGCCGACGCATCTCCCGTGCCCATCGTCCTGTACAACTTCCCCAACGTCGTAGCCGGCCTCGATATCAACTCCGAGATGCTGGATATCCTCGGCAAGCATAAGAACATCGTAGCTGTCAAGCTCACGTGCGGAGGCATCGCAAAGGTTGCGAGGATCAGTGCTGCGTTCGACAAGTCGGAGTTTGTGGCGCTGGCCGGTCAGAGCGACTGGCTTGTACCCGCGCTGAGTGTGGGTGGAATCGGCACCATTACTGGTGTCGCGAACTTGTACCCCAAGGTATTTACTATCGCCAACGTTTTGCGTGTTTGGAAGCTAACAGATCAGTCTTGCATACATTTGTTCAACCTCTACCAATCAGGCAAGCACGACGAAGCGTCAGCCCTCCAGATCAAGCTCTCGGTCACAGAATGGGGGTTCGGAAAGGGTGGCATCAACGGCACTAAGTACGTCGTTGCGCATAAGAGAGGATACCCGGAGAGCAGCGCGGATTGCCGTAGGCCTTACCCGAGATACACCGACGAGGAGAAGAGGAAATGGGTTGTGAACCAGGTGTCAGGTCTTGATGAGCTGGAAGCATCGCTATAGAATGCTGCTTCGCAATGAAGAATTGAAATGTCAAAGTGCTCCCCTTCGGGCATCTGAAGTCTTCGTGGTGCAGAAAAAGCCCTTCTCTCAATCGTTGTGTTGTCACCTCAAAAAGCCCATTGCTCTCGAAGATCCCTCAAGACGCCATCTGTCCTCCACCCTATCAGTCTCTGCAACTGTTCCAAATATTCTACACAAGCTTGCTGCTCCCGCGGATCGATGATATAAGCTCCACATGCACTCAAGATGTGACTACCCTGGAACATAGCATTACCACAATGACTGTTACTCACGCCATACCCTATGGTTATCCTCATGTGCTTGCGAACAGCCGCGTCGGTAGATTTCCTAGCCCGAACACCTGCCAGCCCGACTAATGACGCGTTAGGCGAGTATATCGTGAGCAGTATCTTGCAAAGGTGGTAATACTGCAGCCCGACTGCCACGATCCCCTGTGGACAGAGCAGTTCGGGCCAGCTTCCATCAAACTTGTCGCCCGCATCGGGTTCGACATGGAAGGCCGAGAAAGTCCAGGGCTTCGTCCGCTCCCATTCCTCGACTTCATCGTTCAGTTCTTTCCATGTTTCGCGGCTGATGTTTTCGCTGCCATTATTTGTGCCTCCGAAGACAGTTTGCAGGACGACGGCGAACAGGAATATGATGCGATTCGCCCAGCTTTCGTCGTCAAACTCGCTGAACACAGCTGAGTGGCGGTAGTTATCGAGGCTTAGGTTGAGCGGCTTTTGAGTCGTGAGAGAGACGTAGATGTGTTGGCGGAGAGAAACCCAGGATGCTGATTCGCGGAGGCCACCGTCTGCGGCGAAGGAGGAGATACTGTTTAGTATACGGGCAGTACCCTGAGATCAACATGTGGTCAGGAAAGATATACAGTCAAGCTTAAGAGCGAGAAAAACGTACGAGGTGGTGGCAGTGTTCGTCGGCATCGCCCATCTCTTCGTGAAGCCGAAGCAGGATAACGGCTATGAGGAAGTTCTCATCCCAATGTGCCAGTGGGTCCTCAAGTGCTACGATTAGCGCCTGTAAGCACTGATCTACATAAGGCTGCGACACGTCTTCTACGGCCTTGCCCATCAGCCAGGAGTGTCTTGCAGCAACACCCAGTATGCCATTGAGAATGACGGGGAAGTGGGCTGCGCGTTTTGGTACCTCAGTAGCAAAGTGCCGCCGTGAGTCACACACATCGATCCACGAGGTGCAAAAGAAGAGGTAATGATGGAGGAGACGGGCTTCGTGTGCGTTGTTCACGGGCCACCTGAGTGTTGGCGCTGAGGAAGGACTGAATGCCGTAGAGTTATAAGGAGATTGATTATTGTTAATCGATCCGAAAGGGCTCTTCTTCGATAGACCCGGGGACTGTGACAGACGTTGAAGTGATCCGGGGCTCGCCTGCCAATTTGTGTTTACTAGTTGGCTTATTGAAGAGACGGCGCGAACACTTTGCGGCGTACTATTGCTGATACCACTAGTGACACCGACCAAGGACGATGGGACTTGAGGGTTCAAGACCTCGTGGATGGAAGGCAGATCGCTAGTGTCATTGAAACCTGAGGTTGGAAGGTCCGCGAACGAGGTTAGGTCATCGTACGTCGACGCCAGTCGGCTTTCGCTAGACACTCTGTTCAAATTCGAGTTTTGCCGCCGGGCTTTTGATGCAACGTCAAGAGTGTTGGGCGTGCTTTCGGGATTCGCTTCGCTTTCCGGCCCAGCTTCGTACTCTTCTTCGTCATCGCTGTCCTTGTTCGGCTCAACAAAGTGCACTACACCACTTTCAATCAGCGATTATCGCTATCTAGAAATTGTTCTCTACGCACATGAGCTTGGAATATCAACCCACTGCTGTCCCACCTGGAATTCAAGGGACTGTTCAGCGGATCCTATGTCTTCGCCGGCGTTGAACTTGACCGCCGTGACAGGTCGGAAGCGAAAAGCATTGCCGCGAATGCATGGCTTTTTGCGCTCAGTGCAATATTTGCATTTTTCCGAGTCGCGCAGCTTCACGCCTGTGAATTTCTACGTTAAGCGTTTGGATGGCATTGGATTGTAAGAGCCCGTACATTTGATGTGACGCTCACGACAAGCTTTGCTGTTCAGCAATCAGCAAAATTCTACAAGCGGGCAACTCCGCGGCTCCGACTAACCATCCGCTTCTCTGTCTCATCGTGAGGTCGGAGACCCAAGGACTGTGAATGATGGAGTTGCTACGTTGAGCCGGGAAATCGATCCCGTCTTGTCGGTTTTCGTTTCGGGTCACTTACCCCGCCCGCTTCGTATGCGACGTCCTAAGTCTGGAAGCTTGCGGGGCATCTTCCGATGGAGGGAAGCTTGGAACGTAATGCGCAGTTTGATTGGTATAGGTCTGAGCCGGAAATGACAAGTATACGCGCATGGACCTGTAAATGGCAAGGCTTCCCGTATTCTCTTGCGCCGAGATTGTCGCTCGATACCTGCAACAAACTAACAGAATTGCGACTGACACTCGGCCGCGTGTTTCTGGTGAGCTTCAATGTGCGTGTTGGAGCTGGACTGAACATTACACGATTGCGAAATGGTTTGATGATGCGAAATACTCCTGGCTGACCAAACGCACGTCGACTCTTCGCTTGCCTTCATCCTGCCGTCTTTGTACTTCTTCCAACAGGTCTGCGGTAGCTTTCGCGTTGGTAGCGATGCTTTCGAGACTGCGGATGGCTTCAATGATCCATCTTCTTTCCTCCAAGTCATCCTCTTCGCACCCCCACATCATCAGTGGCCACAAGACATTGACGGGCAGCGACTCGTCTGCCTGCGCCATCACATGTGTCAGACGCTTTATGTTCACGATGGCATTTATTACATCCTTGGTCTTCGGGTACTGCACGTACGCAACGCGATGTAAGTGTATGAACGATGCGTAGTAGTTCGCGAGATAGGTCCGGAAACTTCGTGTGAGTGCGCCTGCTAAGTTTTTGGCTAGGTGTTTTTCGGTGAGGTTTCCAGCAACCGCATGATCCATCAATGCTGGTCTCTGGCCGTAAAGTGCATGTAGATCCTTGGAGATTTGTGCTGCGATGGCCATCACTTCAGTCTCATCCTGAACCGTGCCGCGTGTACGACGCCACGGGTCAATGCGTGTGATGCGCCCGGCGAAGGACTGCACCTTCTGATAGAACATGATACCGGGATGATATAACACGTCAAACAGAATTTCCTCTATTTCGGTGTCCGACGTGTCCGGATCTGACCCAGCATTGGCCGCAGGCGACGCATCAAAGATAGTCTCGTCTGTATCAGCCAAGAAGAGTCCTTCTCCACCTGCTGTTGACACAGCGCGCGCGTCAAGTAGGCGCATCCATGAAATGAGTCGACGTTCCGGTGCCGAGAAGGTGGTCTTGCTGGCACTCTTTATAAGTGTATAGGCCTCGCGTAGGTTTGTGTGGGCTCGTGGCAGCATTTCAGTAAGAAGATCGGTATAGGTAAGCAGGAAAAGGGCAGCGAGCATGTGTCTGAGGTCACTGTCCTCGACTACTCGCGTCTTTGCTAGGCAATTCGCTACCTGTCTGGATGCGGTGTCATACAAAGGTCTCCAGTCTGCCTTGGCCATGTCGTTGCCCAGCCCACTGCGCTGCATCTGCATCGCGGCGAAAGCCATGATGGCACTCTTGACGATGGGTGACTCTGCAGCCAGAGTGGCAAAGAATGCCCTGGTAGATGCCCATTTGGGACCAATTTCCACCGGTGTCAGGATGGGTGGCATGAGCATCTGGAGGAATGTGTGCAAGAGGTAATCTTCGTTCGGTCCATTCGACGCGCCCTCGGTAGAGAACGGCGAGGTCGAAGCTGGATCAGGCTGGTGAAGTCTACGCTCTGGCAGCTCATGCACTTCATTGCTCGCGGAAGACGTTACTCCCAGGGTCTGACTTGAAGATCTATGAGTCGGCCGGGACTGGTGAATGGACTGCGAGACCGGGTCCGAATGTGTTGCTACGCTCGCGAAAGACCCGGTGTCAGTTGGCCATGAGCTGGGACTCAACAGCATAGCTTCGTCCCAGGTACCCAAGCTCAACGGCCCGGATAGGTCAAAACCGAACCCGTACCCTTCCAAGGGTAGTGGACCAGAAAAGAAGGGCTGGTGCTGGCCAGTGTTGAATGACTGGGATGGATTGGTAGTGCTACGAGCCTGCGTGCGGTTCCAAGTGCAGTCGAGATTCAGTCTTTCGCAGTGTCCACATCTAGGCCTCTGCTCATTACATCGCACTTTCCGCCTCCTATGTCGATGAGCGTTGTTGGGGAGTAACGAAGAATTTCCGCGTACCTGCACGCATTGCAGCCGTTTTTTGAACGCGCAGGGCGTGGTTGGGCTGGCGAGGATTCAGACACAGGCGCCGAAGGCACCAAGGGTGGCTGATTCGGTACAGGCGGCTGCGACATGAGCAATGATGGATTCTCGATTCGAGATGGAGATGAATCTGATTGCGATGACTAGGGTAGAACCGTTTTATGTATGCTGCACAGCGGAGTAATAGTATGTGTGTGGGGGCCAATCAGCTCAGGCGCTATCTCGGTGTTTATGCGTGGGTGGAGCAAAGGAACGGTCGCGGCGCACGCCTGATCGAGATTTGCGCATCGTCACTGTGACACTGTCTCTAAACTGTACTACCGGTGCTATATAACGCGAAAACGTGCCGTACTCGTGCCGTTTTATCCTGTCAGTTCCACGGGTCACTGACGTAGATTACAACGACATTTCCAGGGTACAATAACCTAAATACACTCAGTAACATGGGCTTCTCTATTGCGATGTAGACGGTTTGTGACATCTTTTGAATGGGACTGTTTTCGCATATCTATGAAGCTCCAAACACATCTACTCTTGCTTCGCCGATGTCCGCTCCCGTCGCCAAATCTTCACAGGCATCTCCCCCAGGATCCAGTTCATCGTCTCCAGCCTCTGAAGCTCCCAATTCGGACTACTCAGCGCAAAATCATACCGCCTCAACACACTCGCCAAGACCACCGTCTGCTCCAGGTACGAGATGTTGCGTCCGATGCAGCCTCTTGCACCCGCCGAAAAGGCCAGGAAGTAGGGCTGTAAGGCCTTGCCTTCTTCACCCAACCAGCGCTCCGGTATAAACTTGTCGGCGTGCGGGAACACGGACTCCTGCCGATGCGCAACATATGCAGACATGGCGACGGAGACTCCGCCCGGAATGTAGTCACCCAGGATGTTGACGCCTTCGGCTGGCGTCTGTCGCGGGAGTCCGTGGGGTGTCGGTGGGAAGAGCCGGAGCGATTCGTCGAGGCATGCACGGAGATATGGTAGGTGTTTTACCCTGTCGTAAGCGACCACCCCATCGCCTTCCTCTTCATCGTCTTCCAGTGCCGAATCGATCTCTTGCACCAACTTCATCTTGATATCCGGATGCTTGATCAATTGGTACATGACATTGGCCATCGCAATCGCTGTCGTAGCAGACCCGGCGTTCATCATGATGCTCACTTCCGCGACGATCTCGCCCCATTCCAGGTTGTTCGGATGGCCGTTCTTGTCTTCCATCAGCGTTTGGAAGAAGTCGTCGAGCTTCTCCCCTGCCCTGTACCGCTCCAGGCGCTTGTGGGCGAGTTGAACCGGTACGCCCTCCCATTCGTTCGCATAGTCGCTCATGCGCTTGTAGAAGGGGATGACGTTCGAGAGTTTGTTGATGAGCGGATACCAGTCGTATGGCCAGATCAACAACGACTGCTTCCGAGCTGTGTTGTAAAGTGCTGGTCTGAAATCACATTCGTATGTCGAGCCGTCTGTCCTCCGTCCAGTAACCCTGTCGTGGCCCCGATCAAGAAATCCAAGCTTGTCGGAAAGTCCAATATCGGCGATAGCGTCTAGCGTGAAGAAGTTCGTCCACTTCCGATAGTCGAGGTTCACGTCCTCAGGCTTCGGTAGCTGTCCAGGAGACAATGGTGAGGTGCAGCACTCGTCAAAGTACTTCAGTAGCTTCTGCGTCTTGTCGGCTACCTTGTGCTCCCAGCCCTCCAGATTCTTGATTGCATACGCAGAGCTCATCAACTTCCTCTTCCGCGCATGATCATGCTTGTCGATGGCATCCGCAAGATGGTAATGCGAGCCTGCAGTGACAACGTACGATCCATCCTTGGTACAGGGAGTGTTATGACCGTAGATATCTTTCACAGCTCGAAGGTCGCCATACGAGAGGAAGTTGGGGCCCACACGAATTACTGGATGCTTTCGATGTAGTTTCTCAAGGTAGGTGGACCGCGCTCCGCCGTGCGCAAGCACCATGAACGGGATCGAAGATATGCCCGAGAGCGGGTGCATGTTTGGGTAACGCCGAAGACCTGAGATGTCAGTCGATGTTATTGTTGTACTTGATGGCTGACATACCATTCACATCGCGGAAGTAAACGACTACAGGATAAATAACAAAGTAGAAAAGAGCGCACGCGCCTAGCGCAGCAGCATACGGAATGGAAATGACCGCTGGAGACATCTTGAATCGCGATCAATACAACAGCGACGTTGAAATTAATCTCATCAGCAGCTTTGCGTAGTGATAGTATACATTGTGCGATTGGAAGTTTACTTAAGTGCTCGTCGCGGTATCTCACTGCCCGTTGACGCAGCCGCAAAAGTGGATGACCGCATCCCAGGTTTACCAAGAAGGGTATGCTTCGGAGAATGACGGCCTATTGCGGAATGCATTGCTACGACCGGTATATGCGGGCTTGCAAAGTTAAACCGGGAACTACGCGTGGACACCAACTGACAGCTAAAGTGTGGGGTAACGCGGGGATGCCATAGTTTACTCGCGTCATGATCAGCACTGCCACGAGCGTTCAAGCATCACAACGGACTACCGAAAGCGTCGTGCCCAGAAATGTTTGGTTGTTATCGAAAAATCAGGTCTGGCAGTCATGCCCGAGAACGATGGGTTGGTGCAAGTACTTGTGCGGCTGTCATCAGTGGTCCACGTGCTCTTGACTAGTTGAAGGATACCATTTGCTTCTCCCTGGCTATATCGTCGCCTCAGCCTGTCAAACCTTTGGAGGCTATTTTGCTTCCTTCTGTTATCATGGATTCACTTGCTTTACCACTTGACATGTCAGAGTTGAGGTCACAACTCAATCCTCTTCTGCAAGCACTCAGCACAACACCGGTGTTCAGCAGTTTGAAGCCCTCGACTGCAGCAGACGGACTAGCTGCATTTCTATTTCTTCTTACATCGCTCGGGTACATCACTCGTGGTCGCATTTGGGACAAGCCAGACCCGAACTACCATGTAAGGAGAATATCTCCACGCGACTTTGCATCCTTGATGTCACAGCATTACTGACCATGCTGTTATTATAGGTGTATTTTGAGAGACCACAGGTCGAAGAGGGCTTCTCAGACGGGAAGACCAATTCTACGCGCGACGTTTGCCAACGCCTCGACGAGGGCGGCTACCATTGCGTCATCTTTTGGGGCTCACAGTCTGGTACATCAGAGCGCCTCGCCGAGAGCCTGGGCCGAGAGTGCGGCGCGCGCTATGGAGTGAATGCCTTGGTTGCGGACCTATCCGATTACGATGCCGAAAGTATTGCGAGGATCCAGAACAAGTATTTCGCCATCTTCATCCTGAGCACATATGGCGAAGGCGATCCGAGCGACAACACTACCGGCCTTTGGGATTGGATCAAGCGGCTAGGCGACGACAACATTCGGCTTGAGAGCTTGCGATACCTGGCATTCGGTCTCGGTAATAGCAACTACAAATACTACAACAGGGTCCTCGATGTAGTCGCCGATGCTTTAGATGCTGCAGGCGCTACTGCGCTGATGCCACGGCAGAGAGCCGACGATGCCAATGGTGGCACAGAGGAGGACTACCAAGCATGGAAAGATGATGTTTTCACTCTGCTTGCTCAGATGGGGTTCGAAGAGAAGGCTGTCACTTACGAGCCGACGATGAGGGTTGATCTCGCCGCCGGGAGCCCTGGTCCCGAAGCAAATTCCGTCACATCGGTGCACCACCAACGATCTGCCTTGAACTCAGCCATAGTCCCTCTGACCATCAAACACTCTCGCGAGTTGTTCGTGTCGGGAGATCGCAACTGCGTGCACTTGGAAGTGGATCTGGGCAATACGGACATCGTGTACAAGACTGGGGATCATATCGGCATCTGGCCTGTCAACCCTGAGGAGGAAGTCAACCGACTGCTCGACATCCTGGGCTTGCAAGGCCGTAGGCACGACTGCCTCACCGTAGCACCGAAGAGCGGTTCCGACAAGCCAAAGATACCGTCGCCGTGCACGCTCGAGACAGCTTTCCGCAATCATCTAGAGGTTTGCGCGCCTGTGGCTCGGAAGGCTGTGCTCGAAGTTGCTCAGTTTGCGCCCACCCCTCAAGCCAAATCGAAGCTCCTCGGCATTGCGCAGGACCGTGGGCGTTACGAGCGGTTCACGTCTTCTGCACACGTCACGTTCGCTCGGCTGCTCGAGCTTGCCAGCCCTGGTGCTGCGTGGACCTCGATACCGCTTGCCTTCGTTATCGATAATTTGCTGCCACTTCAGCCGAGATACTACTCCATCTCTTCGAGTTCCGTAACGTCTCCCCGGCGCATCGCGATCACCGCACTGGTAGTCAATAAGACGATCACGACTGAAAACCAGTCAACAACCAATATTCCTGGCCTGACGTCAAATTACCTCTTATCGGCATCCAATCTTCGCCCGGCCGGAAACACGCCAATTCCCACCTATCACCGCTCAGTCGGAAGTGGAGACGTCCAGGGCCAAACGGTTCTCGCGCACGTGAGGAAGTCGAAGTTCAAGCTGCCCATCACAGCTTCGACTCAGTTGATCATGGTCAGCGCCGGTACCGGCTTTGCTCCTTTCCGTGCGTTTCTCCAGGAGCGCGTCAAGTTGCATGCGATTGGTAAGCCGATTGGCAAGATGTTGTTGTTCTTCGGATGCCGGAACCAGGAGGACTACATCTACCATGACGAGCTGGCAAAGATGCAGGAACAGCTCGGAGAGAAGCTGGAGATCGTTACTGCGTTTTCGCGAATGCAAGGGCAGCGCAGAGTGTATGTGCAGGACCGGGTGGCCGAGCACGCTGGCAAGGTGCTGGGCATGCTGGAAGGAGGGGCCAACATGTACGTCTGCGGCAAGGCAAGCATGGCCCGGGAGGTGGATATGAGGCTTGGAGAGGCGGTCCAGGGTGCGCAGGGTAAGACCGAGGCCGAAGTCAAAGCGTGGGCTGACGGGCTGAAGAAGAGGGGCAAATGGAAGGCGGATGTTTGGGGGTGATTTCGGTTGAGATGCTGTTTACCATAGCGCGTTCGTACGAAGGGAGGGCCTCCCCACTTTTACCAATTTACCCCTGCCAAGCCAAGCAACACGGGCAGAGCCCATCCGCGCCCCAACGGCAGCT